AGGCTGATTGGAACCTTCTTGCTGTAAGCCAAAACAGACACTATTTGAAACCAAGTACTGTAAGCAGATTTACCGTATTGATCTGTTGGTAGCTGTGTTCGCAAGAAATTAATTTTATGCTAGATTGAGAGGTTACAAGAAGTTTCCTGTCTGCACAGTCAAAATATTATTGAAGCAATTCAGGTTGTCAGTAAAAGCTTAAACAAATTTGCTGATAATCCTGTTAATGACCTAGGTCAAGTGTTAACTGTTGTGGGTTATAAAACAGTGAAATTAAGGTTGCTGGTACCCTCAGGCAGGCAATATAGTTACAGAAGAGATTGAGGAAAAATTATTAAATTACAGAACGATATAGCTCATTCGATTTCTTGATACCGTAGGAATTATTCAGAAAGAAATTGCATCCTTCTAAGAAAAAACCCACAATCCTCCCTAAGCGGAAAATATCCAACAGAATGGAAGAGCAGAACATGTGGTTTCTATGCACCTACGGGTTCGGCTTGCAACTTCAAACTGGAAAAGTTAGATGTTAAATATTCCTGACATTTTCCTGCCTCGGATAAAATGGCACACACATTACCACTGCACATAGATAAATCTGAACTTTAGAGAACCTTCTTGAGCCTCCGTGATTACGTAGGTAAAACACATGCAGCTTTGCGATGAGCACAGCAGATAGTTTAAAAATAAACTCAGCGGAAAATTTTGTTTCATTAAAAAAAAAAAAACCTCTAAATAAAACTTCTCTGGGATGATGCAAATTAACAAAAATTCAAGCACTACAAGAAAAAACAAAGGACTGCATTTAAGACCACAAAGTGAAGTAAGCCAACAACTTGCTTTCAACCCCTCTTTCACCCTTTTCTCCCTTCCATTGCAGTATTAGTACTAACTCAAACAGTTGTCGGCTTCAGTATTAATTTTACACGTTAACTCAAGTTGTACTTAAAAAATAGAATAATTCTTTCAAGTCAAATAAATTTAGGAAAGGTCACTGGGAGCTCTGAACATACTCTTGCAACATGTCTACTGCAACATTCATGTCCCCTAGAAGTTTGACAAAGCTATAAATGCACACCAAAAATTAGTTCCGTCCTTTGTTAAAACAATCCACGAGAAGAATTTCAACAGTAGCTTTAATATAAAGCATAGGAAAAAAATGTATAAATTTTTATTTAAATGCTTATATTAACAATGTCTGTTCAAAGTATAGCTTTTTCCTTCTCAGTGATGGAAAAAGAAAACTTTTCTAAATACCCCACACAAACATCTATCTCTGGCTTTGGGGAGAAATTTATGGTAACAACAGTAAGGAAGTGAAATGGTGAGAAAAAGATTACTTAAAAGAAGAAAACAATCTTCTGACATGATTTAAAGCTGCATGCTAATACTTGATCACTAAACAATTTAGTGTGTCAGCAAATTATAATAATTCAGATTTCTAAACTCACATGATCAGCCTAAATGTGCTGTAAATAAATAAAAGAATTACTGAGCTTTTCTAAGGGGGGGGGGGGGGGGGGGGGGGGGTTTTTACATGGGGGAGGGGGAAGTCCTTTAAAGTTGATCTCATTTTTAAAAGAAACAGTCAGTGTTCCTTTTTTTGAAAGGAATAGCAAAATACACACTTGAAAAAAGTAAGCATGAAAAAGTGCGTTACTGTCTGGTAACTGCACTTATGTTGTTGTTTTCACTAGCCATTTTGAAAATATTGCCCAAATCATACAAGTTCTTGAAGCTGAAAACAGAGAATAGAGGCAGTATCTGCTGAAAGCTGACTCGGACAAGTATGCTTAACGCGCATTCTCTGTGATACCAATTTTTTCCTCCTTTCTCAATTCTCGGTGCCAGTGACTTTAAACAAAGAAACAAAAAGTGGGTTTTTGCAAACTGGAATGCTGTAATATCTTTTTTGCATAATTAGTCTCAGTTTACAGACTGTGCCATGGAGGCAGAGCTGCTCCGCTGACTGACAGAACTACATACGTTCCCAAAAAGCTTTTAATAATAAGACAAGACCTACTAACACTCTGGGTTTCATTTCTGAAAATTATTTGTGAAAGATGACAATATTTACGAAATAGCATGTATCTGGAGGCTTAAAAGTGACGAACTATTAAAAGCACATTCTTTTAAATAACCTATAAAGCACTGTGCATGCAAAACAAATTTACATAACGCATACAAACAGATGATGTATTGCTCTTCTGGCATGACAGTACCACAGCTTCCTTCCTAGCAATAAAACCAACTGATTTAAGATTACCCAGGATTTGTAAAGTTTGAATCTTTCCTTATTTGTTTCATATTACATTTTTTTCCTTCCAGAAATCATTTAAAGTTGTTATCTCACTGCCTTACCTCACAAGCACCCAGAATATCAATAAGTAGATCAGCATTATCTGTACAGGAGAAATGACTTCTCTAATAGGTTTGATATCTGCTTCTCTACGCAAATGCTACAACCGAAGCAGGTGTAAGTTTTACATGGTTGTTTGATCCTAGAAGTTCTTCCCAACCTTTGGCCTCTGGATTTTATCCCTAAAGATGATTACACTGGATACCCTGGTCATGCCAACTGCGTCCACTGTGCAAGTGAGCAAAAGCTGCATTTTTTTTTTTTTTTTAGGGAAAAGGGAATTCTTTTTTCTTTTTTAAAAAGTATTTCAATTACTTTTTCAGTGTCTAGTGGTCGTTATTTTTCTCTGAAACCTAACATGCGCTTTCATCAAATGTCATTTTAAAAAGTACCACAGCAAAGGAGAACAAACCACTCGTGCTTTGTGTCTGAAAATTTACACACGCTCACATACACACCGTTTTCACTCACTAAAAAAACTGATATGAAACCGCTACGGAACCAAAAGGAGGTTTTATAGGGGAGCAAGCTTCTTTTTTGTATTAATTAAAAGTTTTGAAAGAGAGGATGGCTAGTGAAACCACCAGCCCTGCACATACAAAAGGGCTCACCGCTCAGTTATCGCTGGGCTGCGGGAGACGGGGGCTGCCCATTCGCCTTTACAGCTTATTTTTATTACTTAACAAACGAACCCGGTGCCTACCGCCCCAGCCCTCAGCCAGCTATCTGAGGCTAGAAAGGAGGCGGCGGCTGG